GAGCAGAATTATAAAAACTTGGCCAAAAAAAAGTAGAGTTTTACAAACCAATGGTATAATATTTATGATAAAGAACCACAATCTTGACTTTTTCTTATTTTTTTATGAAAAAATATAACTTTTAATTCTTGTACTTTATTCGTATTTTACTATAATTTTTATACTTTTTCAGTGTTATAGGTCCCTACGTTTCATTTTTTAATATTTTAAATCTCTTTAAGGTCCTTACACTTTCTTCATTTAAAGAAGGATTTAGAATATTGAAAAATAAAAGTACAGATATCTAAAATATTGAGAAAAAAAGTACATGAATCTATAATAAAATTCAAGTAAAGTATAGAGATCAAAAATTATATTTTTTTATTACATTTAGGTATTTATTTATTAGAAGTAATTATATTCAAGGCACAATTGAGTATATTTCCTATATGTACCTTAGCTTCTAAATGCCACTTTTCGGTTGGCTCTTTTTTTTATTTTGTTTTAAAAAATCTGTCTTTAAATTAGATTGGATTAGGGGAGGATTGAATGAAGGAAGTCATGATGAAACTTTAAGGTCAACAAATTAAAGAGATGCTTGTGTGTTACAATTAAAATGAGTAAAGCCTAACACTTGGACTCTTGCAAATTGAGATGGCGTTTGAACTAATTATTATTATTATCGCTCATTTATTTTCTTTTATAATAATTCGGTTAAGCAGAAGCAGAAGCAGAAGAGAAGTCTTTTAGAAGAAAGTGATTCAAAGAGTGCTTCCCAAGTTAGTTAAAGAAAAAATAAAAAAGCTTGAAAGATATGAGAGAGAGACATAGTGCACTACCACACACACTCTCTCTCTCCTCTTTTTTTAGAGAGAGAAAGGGAGAGTGTTTTTGAAGGAATTGATTCAAAGAGTACAACTCAAGTTATTTTTTTATATTTTATTTATTTATTTATTATTATTATTATGATGTAAAAAATAAAGGAGTAATTAAAAGGGTAAAGATATTGTGAGTGAGGACCATCATTTTTGTTAGGCCCAATACCAAACACGCTTCAGTTGTGCCGTCACTTTTGTGCTAACCTTTCTTTTCCTTTTATTTTTATCCCCCTTTCTTCTTTTCCTTTTATGTTTATCCCCCTTTCTTAATCATTAATAAAACTGATACAAGCCAGAAAATTCAAGATAAAATTATTGTTTCAGATGTGATGTATTGAGAATTTACAGTCAATAAATTTCAAATTGTTGTTGGTTTCAGGCTTTCATTTAAACATTATTTTTCATTTTTTGATATTCCCTTTTTATTATATTTTATTGCATACATGTGTTTTTAGAGATAATTTTATTCAATATGCAGTTGGGTATTCTCTTTTCAACAAGTTTTTTTCTCGATTATAATTAATATGAAAGTGGGACTTATAGCAAAAATGATAGAATTGGATTTTTTTTTTTTTGAGTTTTGCTTAAATTGGAATTTAACCGAACAGAGATGATAAAATTTCATGCCTAATGATGCTCCTAGACCATTTCATTCACCATCTTTATCTTCAAACTTCATAGCAAATTTAGATACATGCCAAGACTGGTGTGATACCTTTTATTTTCATTATTAATTTGCATGTACAAATACGTTTGAATCCTTTATAAATTATCGTGAGATGATGTATATTTATTAATCATTTAATCATTCATGCCTATGTCAAACTTTTAATACAATAAATCCTTCGAAAGAATCATAATTCAGTGCATTTTATTTGCTTCCATCCATACTATTTAATAAATAAGATTGATATATTACAAATTTAATTTGGCATTTATTATAATTAATTATATGATAAATTACCACAGAAGATCTCATTAAATATTAAATGGATAGGATAATAGAGAATTTTCGGGTGATGAAAACATGCACCCACCCCTTATATAAAACAGAGCGGCGATCTTATATTCATGTAAACATCATATTATTCCATAATTATAAATAAGAAAAAATTACTCATATGTTCTATAAAGTATACTTATTTACAAATAAGTTCTAATTTATAAATCATAATATTAAAGTGTAATTTAAATTTTGAATACAAGGACAATAATATTTCAATTAAAAATATTAAAGCTACAATTGTAAAATTTTAAAGTATGAGTTGTAAATTATTGATATAAAAAATGTAAATAATTAGTATTAAATTTTATTAATAACGCATGATCGTAACTATTAAATATGTAAAATTATTATTATTAAATGTTAAAATAATAGCTGTAAATTACGGATGAGATAGCTGTATATAATTAATATGAAACTTGTAATGTATAATTAATTTAACTATTAGATATATAAAGTTGTGATTGTAAAAAATTAAAATAATATTTATAAATTATTGATAAAGTAGTCATAAGTTTTTTGATTGATATAATATATTTTTAATCAGGGCATTATTATTTTTACACCTTAATTTTAAATTATACTTAGTTTTTAAAAGACCTAATCATGATTTCTAAATTTTGTGAAATTTATTTATAAATAAGTATGTTTCATAGAATCTATACATATTTTTTTATAGTTAATGTATACATTTATTTTCAACATACTCCTTCCATTTTTATTTATAAGAGAAAAAAATTATATCACACAATTTACAAAAATTAATTAATTATATTAATTGTGTTTGAAAATAAAAAGATTGGACTATAATACTTTTTATTAATTTTGTTAATCAAGCCTTTATTAATTATTTTTTATGACGATGAATGATAAAATTATGAGGGGTAATTTAAAAAGTTTACAATAAATGCTTGTTAAAAAAATGTGATTTTGCTTATATAAAAAAAAAGCTAAAAGTGATAGTTATTCTTATAAATAAAAATAGAGAGAATATGTATTTAGAAATAAGAAAAATCTTGAAGATCATTAATTCTATCTAAAAAATTAATAAGTTTATGGCTATATAGATTAAATATACACACTTTAATTACATATTTCTTCCATCCCAATTTATGAGATATTTTTGGACAAAATTACATGGATCAAGGAAACTCATCTTACAATCTTATTTTATTTTTTTATAAGTTTTTAAAAATACTCTTCATTAATGAGAGAGATGGCAACGAAAATTTATTTTAAGGTATGAAATAATGAAGGGTAATATTAAATAATAATCATTTAAAAAATATTATTTTTAAAAAAATATTTTACATTTTATGATACCAAAGCACATTTAAAAATGTCTTATAAAGTTCCCTCTAACCAATATTTAATGAAGGTAAAAGAGAAACTCATGATAAAAAAAAAATCAATAACATGTCTTGTAAAATATAAATAGGAAAGAAAAAATATTCTCTTTTTGCTTTATGAATAATTAAGATCGAAAGAAGGATACACACATATAGAATCCAATTTTAGAGACTACAACAATGGTGAAGGAGAATCATACGGCCATTTGTTTTCAACACAGGATTGGGTTGCATTCCGAATTGTGCCGATAATATCTGATTCCGATTTTATTCGTTTTTAAGATAACTTTACATATTTGCAACTTGAATGCCCACCATTTTCTCAACTCGGTGTCCATGTAACCCCGAAAATGTGAACAAAACGCATGGTTCCAATAAAGTGACACATTTTAGAAATGTATATTATTAATAGCATAAGAGATTTTTTTTATTAAAAAACATTTAGTTAATTTAAATTCTAAAAGTGGTTTGAGGATATTCGGATGAATTAAGAAGAAAAGTGCCACGCGTACAGGGGTACGTCGACCTGTCCATGTAGACATCCCGATGGATAAAAATAGTAAGAAACGGTGGCGTATCAACAAAGAGTAGACGAAATGATAAGCAAAATTCCAATTTATTTTGGAATTTACTAACAAATGCATTTATGGCTGACGTATAAAAAAGGTAAATCAAATAAAATATAAAAGAAAAAAAATCCCATTCCAATGTGCGGAGCAGCTGGTGATGTTTATGCTGTAATATACTCTCCTCAATATAAAATAATATATAATAATATAAAGTAGTATTGATAACTATTTAACAATTCTTTGACAAAAAAATAATAATTATTTAACAGTTTTTTAAAAATATTATTTTATAAAAATTATTTGAAATATTAATCTTAAAAATTATGTATCTTTTTAATTATATTTTCATTAAACATTTTATATAATTTTTTATTATAATAATTGATATTTCATTTGACTATTTTTTCACAAATAATTAATAAATGAAAGTAAAAGTATAATTTAAAAAATTATCAAAGCTACCCATAATTCTATATTTTTTACAAATATCTTTTTGTTATTGCAAAGCCCATTTTTTACTATTCCCTCCTATCTTTATTATAAAATACTTTTAATCCTTTCATTTCATATATATTAAGAAAAATTAATTTTTTTTTGATATTATAAAAGAGTGAGAAATGCTTTTAAAAATAGTAATACAATTATATTAAATATTTTTATGTTAATAAAAAATAAAATTAAAAAATAATTTAATTATTATAAAATATTTTATATTTTAAATAAAAATTATTTTAAAAATGTTTTATTTGATAGGAGGGAGTATTATTAAAAAAGTGTTTTATATTACAGAGAACAAAGTAATGTATGAGCTGTTTTGTTTGACAAAAACAAAAAGGGAAGGAACATGGGAAAAAGGGAGACGCGTAGTCACGCTATCCAAGTTAGCACAGAATGAAACAGAAGAAATTGGCTTCATTGGAATCCCGTGTGCGTCACGCGCCTCGAGGGACGTAGCCTCCTCCTCTGACTTCTTTTTTTTTTTGTTCACATTTATCTTCCTCCCTCTTTCTGTGTTTCAGTCTCTGAATGAGAGCCCGCCAGTTTTCTTTCAGGACCTGCAAAATTAACCGAAAACGTTGAATCCCTTCCCAAACATTCAACCCTCCATTTTAAGGGCAGGATTACATTTGATTAATTAAGTAAATTAGGGATTAGAGCAGTATAAATGGAAGGGAACGGAGAGAATCGAGAAACATAAATGAGTTGAAGGGGGTAAAGTAAACGAAGATTGAATGGGAAGGTGGTGGTGGAGGTGCGGTGATAATGCGTGAAAGCAGGAGAGGGACCCTCGTGGGAGCAACAAATGGGCAATCAGAGGTAAGAGAAAGAGAAACAAACACTTCAACATCACGACAGGAGAAGGCATAGTAAAAGACAGCTAGCATTGAAGAAGGAGCCTCACCTACCAGTGCCCATCTCCTTTCTCTCTCCCTCTTCCCTTTTAAATCCTTTCTCACTCTCCTCTCTCCCTTCAAAACCCCCCTCTCTCCCTCTTCCCCCCCTCCTCTCTCTCTCTCTCTCTCTCCCCCTCGCCATCTTCTGCAACAAAGCACACAGGTTCGTACCTCTTCTGCATTTCACTCTGATTGTTTCTCTCCATGCACATTCCCTCCTGGGTTTACCTAGTCTCTTGTTTTTGCTTTCAGTGTTTTGATATCTTCTTCAACCTCCTTAACTTATATACAACACTTCTGCTCAACTATTCAGTCCCAAGGTTTGTTTCACGAAATTCTTCTTACCTTCCTTCTACTCTAAGCATGCCAGAGAACTAAAGCACTGATTTTTAACGCAGAATTGGTGAAAATTTTCAATTTTGATTCCGGGTTTTCTGAAGGCAAAAAAAGAAAATATATATATATATATATATATATATCTCTTCATGATTGGAGAGTTCTTTATTATTATTATTTTTTCGGTTGAAAAAATGAATGAAATTTTGAAAATAACTTTTGTTGCGGAATGCGGAGTGGGCTATGGTGCGCCACGCGGTTCTATGCGCTGGCTTCATCATTTTGGACATGGCGCTCCGATATGGGCGCCTTGTAATAACGATTCAAAAACCATAATTAGGGGCAAACAAAAACTGATAGCTTTATCGTCTTTCCGTTTTCTTCTCTGATAATTTCTCTTTTCCGCAATTCTCTCTCTCAGGAAAATTCTCACAGACACAGGCAGACCCACAGCGAAAATGATCGGACCCAATTTCATGGACGAGATAGACTGTGGCAGCTTCTTCGACCACATTGACGACCTCCTCGATTTCCCTCCAGAAGACGTCGACGCCGCCGTCTTGCCCGCCTCCGCCTTGAATTGTAACTCCTTCCCCACCGTCTGGCCCGATGAGTCCGACTCCTTGCCCGGCTCCGACTCTGTCTTCTCTGCCAACAACGCCTCCGACCTCTCGGCCGAGCTCTCAGTTCCAGTGAGTCCCCTTGGAGTTTATTCAATATCCATATATTCAAGTGTTTTTGCTTGCATCAACCACGCTGGCTCGTTGAAATGAAAATTTCTGATTGAAGTTTGAACAGAATTTTAAGAACGATGTTCCTGAATGACTTTGTGTTGTTGCAGTATGAAGACATTGTCCAGTTGGAATGGCTTTCGAACTTTGTGGAGGACTCGTTCACTGGTGGAAGCCTGACGATGAAGAAGGTGGAGCAATCTTGCATCGCCAACAACGACTCAGCGCACAACCAATTCCAAACTTCAAGCCCGGTCTCTGTCCTCGAGAGCAGCAGCTCCTGCTCCGGGGAGAAGCCGGTGGCGGCGCCACCTCGAAGCCCGCCGGAAATGGTTGTGCCCGTTCCCTGTGGCGGACGTGCTCGCAGCAAGCGGCCACGCCCCGCCACGTTCAAGCCTCGCCTCGCGATGCAGCTCATCTCGCCGGCATCCTCCGTCGGTGAAAACACCCAGCGAAATTCAGACTGTGAGAATTTCGTGGAGTCTCATCCGGTGATCAAGATACCGAAGCAATCTTCCGGGGAGCACAAGAAGAAGAAGAAGATCAAACTGGCTTGTCCATTAGGTCCTGCTGATATGAATCAGCAAAACCCTTCGTCACAAGCAGTGAGGAAATGTATGCATTGTGAGATAACAAAGACACCACAATGGAGGGCAGGTCCAATGGGGCCAAAAACCTTATGCAATGCTTGCGGGGTTCGATACAAGTCGGGGAGGCTATTCCCGGAGTACCGGCCGGCGGCTAGCCCGACGTTTTGCCCGTCATTGCACTCCAATTCCCATAAGAAGGTGCTTGAAATGAGAAGCAAAACACCACTTACTGATGCTTCACCGGAGCTCATTCCAAACACTAACAGCAGTATTACCCTGGAATACATATGAAGTGAAGAAGAGAGGAAGGAATGATCCAAGTCTTATCTAGAGTTATATGAATCTGTTTACTTAATGAAAATTTCATTTCTTTGTTCATTGGTTTTTTGTACAGGGATGAAATGGGCAGTGGGAGTAGGAACCATAGATGATGAAGAAGAAGAAGACGATGATGATCATATTTAGCTATTAGAGGAGGATTGTAATGAGAGCTGATAAAAAAAGGGGTAGAGAAGAGATATTTCAGATATGCAAGTCAAAAGGGTAGAGTTTTAGTTCTGGTAATTTTAGGTGTTTGAGGTCAATAGGAGTTGGAGTCGTCTTGTCTCTTCCTTTTTTTTTTTCCTGCATTCTTTTCATTTTTTTTTCCTTCTAAAAAAATCCTATCTGGGAATTCTTTTTGCAGTTCATTTGTAGCAAAACTTCTGAGTTGAGTAAGGAGCTTTATATATTTTGTTATGCCTCATTTTCCCATTTGCCTTCTTTGCTTGAACGTATTGTTGTTTTCAGTACCACTTCATTATGAAGTCAATCAGAAACAGGACAAATTCTTCATGACTTGTTTGTAACTAACCAGAAATCACATTCTCTGCATAATTCCTTTTACTGATTGCATATTCAAAAGTCAATGAACACTCATCACCGTGAGTTTTTTTTTTTTTGTGAAAGTCATGTGACTGATTCAACGTACACTGTGATTAAGAGTTTTTCTGAGACATGAGGTGATGCTGAAACTGATGATGAATTTTAGCCTAGTGTTTAACTAAAAGTCTTTTATACATTTACCAGAAGATATTAAAAAAAAGGGCGGGGGGGGGGGGGGCATTTTTAAAATGAAATCAAGTCCAAGCTTTGATGAGGAATAAATTAGTTTAGAAACAATCAAATGGTTTGACATGTGCACTAAAAAACAAAACTTGAAAAGGTAGAGAGGAGAACAATGATTATTGCTGGTAAAACTCATCTTCATGCCACGAAAGGTCGGGGCAATGCTTATATATGCAGATCTAATCATGACTCTGCTATTTCAAGAAGAATTTGGAGACATGTCATGATCTGCCACTCACCTTTATAACCAAACAATATATTAAAAAAAAATTAATGATTTTTCTGTTAAACACAAACCCAATGGATTGCATAAATGGTTTCTGTTTTCTGCTACTATTTTTGAAAAATATTTAAAATCCTTTCATTACCACTCTGTCATGACATGAGTAAAAAGAAGAAGAAGAGACATAAACGATACTTACATTGTACCATTCATTCCCTATCAGAACAGAGACACCACCATTGTCTACCTCAGGGAAATAGACAAAAAGAGGAAGACATAACCCATGTTTTAAGTAATGGTTTTGATCATTAACTAATATGATAGAGACTCCAGAAGGGCAAAAGGCTTTTTCTTTCTCCTTCTCCTCCTCCTTCCTTCTCACCCCTTTATTAGTATTGGTTTGTACTGTGATTTCTCAAAACAGGGCCATGTTGTTGTAGTTGTTGCTTGCTGTAGTGTACGAGCAGGAATAGGGTCAGTTTCATCACCAACTTCGTAGGTCTAACTAACTCCTTCTTCCTGTTTCTGCTCATAGATCAGCCTTTTTTGGGAGGTTTCTGTCAAACTAGGGTAGGTTCTTACGACTGTGAGAGAGAGAGCAACTTATTCCAACTCTTAATGCAGAATTAATTGCGCCTTAATCAAGTCTTCTTCCCAGCCTTCCCTTTCTGATATTATGAATCATGCATTGCTTTTCTAATACCCTTTTGTGGTACATTGATATCTTTTCTCTGTTACTACGAAAGAAAAAGATATTAGCAACATGTCCTTGTCTGATTTCCCCTGATCTTTTCGACTCTAAGGTTCTCTTCGGCTTTTTTTTTTTGGAGCCATAGTTGGGCTCTGTTTTGTTCTGTCTACTAATTATAGTAGTCCTCTAAGGTCCATTCGAGATTAAAAAAAAATGAGACTGTGTGTTTAAAAAAGGACCAAACAAGCCCAATGGATGATTTGAGAGCTAAAGCCTTGGGGGCCCAGTGTAAACAAAACAGGGCCGTTTGCTTTGGACAAAGGAATGAAATTTTCATACGTTCACAATTTTCTCATGTTGTCTATGTGATTTTGTCAACCAAGATTGTTCTAGTTATTGAAGATTTAACCCTTAACTCATATGGTTATGAGTTCAAATTGAAATTCTATTGCCACTATAATGACCTTGTTGTGGGTGATTATAAGTATTTTTATATGCGTTTTTTGGAATCCAGATACATGACCTAGTTCTAGTAAATCTTGAAACCAAATTCATGTTATAAAAAAATGGTTAATTTGTTGGGCGAGGAGTGAGGAGATACATGTGAGATATAAAAAAAGGAGGAAGATGGAATGAGAAATAAGGAAAAAAAAGAGAGAAAAGAAGCGAAGTGAGGGCGAAGAGCACGCCTCTGGGATCGCCACTGGAGCAGCCTCCGCCAACGTATTCCCACGTTGTGCATTTATCATCCTTTTCTCTCTCTCGTGATATAATCTAATTTCTTTTGTCAGACTGTAATTGTTTAATAGTCTTTCTATTTTAAATTATAAAATACCTTTAAATAAAATCTTATGTATTAATAATTTTTATTAAATATATTTAATAATTTTATATTTAAAAAATAAAAATATAAGCTTTTAAAAATATTCTTCATTTAATAACCTTAAATCCATACCTAAATAGTATTAAATAGAGAGAGAGAAAGGATAATGTTAAAATAAGTCTATTAATAAAATTTTAATCTTTTTAAAGTGTCTTATATTTTAAAATGACAAATCTCTCTCAAAAAGTGTCTTATAATTTGAAGCGGAGGGAGTATAATTTAATCATTATGTGCTTTCGCCTTTTTTAGACTTTAAAATTATGCTTGTTTATTTTTTTTGGAAAAAAAATTCTTTATGAATTTTTATGATATTTATTTAAATTTTTATAAATAATCAAAATTTTAAATTTTTTTTCATTTTAAAAAGTTACTTTAAGTGTTTAAAAACAATTTGATAATGTAGATAAGAAAGAATGTTTTAAAAAAGCAGAATACACAAAAACATCACAAATTTTTAAAATAATTGAATAATAAATTATTTTTATAAAAAAATCAAATAAAATATCATAAAATTGAAAAATAACTAATCAATAATTATTTTTTTTATTATGTAACTAAATATAAATAATATTTACTTTTTATATAATATATATAAAATCATAAATATATTTTTATAAAATTTCTGGATTATAAAAAATTACTTTATTTTTAAATTTTAAACAAACAAAGCAAAAATTGAGTTATGTTCTAGATTGTTAATTGTCTCATCTGAAGCAGCGGCAGGTTTTATAACGTTTACATTTCTTTTATTAATATGAAATGTTGGCTTTTTTTATGACAAATTTAACAAATATATCATACTTAAAATGCTTGAGATAGTTGGAAATAGTTTATATAGGACTAGAATGAGTAATTATCTGGTCTTTGGTATTATCAGATTAGATTCAAATATAATTAGATCTAGTTGAAACGCGTTCTCCCATAATTTTTTTTTACCAAGGGGTCCTCGATTCAGATAGAACGTTAACATGTTTGTAATTGTGTGTCTGCTTTTCCTATAAAAAAATATTACGTTAGTATTGGGTTAGGGGGAAAAAATTTCAAAACCTTGATGACTTGCTTGAAAATTAATGTGAGCTTGTAATAGGATTTTTTTTAAATTTTATTCATAAGGTTAGAATCTTCAAGTTCATTAAAAAAAAAAAACAAATTTCTTCCACTTGATGCTGAGCCAATCCCTCCTCACCTATTATTGCTATGGTGGGGTTTGTGTATCCCTTTTTCTCGTTTTTTTTTTTTTAAAAAAAAATCGATAATTGTCTGTAAACACATCAGCAGCACCATGGACGCACAAGGGCTGGGTGTTTTACTTTTATATGAGATTCGGCCCATTTTACATTTATCGTTGACTGTCTCCAAAATATGTTTTCATTCTCATGTTTTTTTTTTTAATGAGATAACTTTATTTTATTTTGAAATATCATCTTTATTTTACATTATGCTTCAAGAAAAATAGCAAGTGTGAAAATGTTTAAAATAAAATTTGGATCTTCCATTTTGATTTTAAATTTAGATATATTTTTCATAAATGTTTGGGATTCCCGTTAACAAACACTGGATCAACTCTTCTTTTTTTTTTTCGTATTTCTATTTTTTTGAGTTGAATGCACTTTATTTTTCCGGGATTAAAGCAAGGAATTTAACTATGTATTACTATTGATTATATACTACTTTAATTTAATTTATACATGACATTATCAATAAAGCCTTCTTAATTCTTTTACATTTCATCTCCAATCATCATTATTACAAAAAAATACTTTTTACACATGTTTTTACACTGATTAAAAAGAAATCAGTATAAAAACTATGAATAGTGACATTTTCATAAATAAAAGGACTCAATAAAACATTTTTTACATCAATTCTGTATAGAGAGTTCTCATAAAATTGGTGTAGAAAGTATTTTCTACACTGATTCTTAAAAATTCTTTCTTTCTTTTTAAATGTATATCAGAAACAAAAATGTCCACGCTATTGTGTCTTCCCTAGTTTAATCAAACTCTTGAAACTGTTATTATTAGTGATAGCTTTATAAATATCTCAATAATGCTTTCACAAAACTTGAGCTTTATATTTTAAGATAACTTAATTCAATTCCATCAATTAGTCAAATTAAATGCTTCTTGGTAAAACCCTCTTAATACTAGCACCGTCAGGTTAAATGATTTTAATTGTGATTATAATATTGTCCCTTGATTAATGCTGAGATGTAATGCTTTTATTATAATCTAAATTTTAATTAATTAGTCCCTCTATCTCAAATTATAAAATAATTTTACAAAAATTGTGTCATCCGATAATTTGAAAAAAATAAAATTTTATTTATAATATTTTTCTAACGTTATATCTCAAATAAAGAGATAATTAAAATGATATTATAACATACTGATTTAGTGTTTAAGAGTATTTTTGAAAAAAATTTTATTTTCTTTTAAGAGGATGAGTATGTAAAGTGTCATTATTATATTTATTATTATGTGTAATCTTGTCTTCAATTATTTTATAATTTAAAATGAAAAGAGTGATTTATTTTATTTCAAGATTTATTTCCTCCTTTTATAATTTTGCAGTCAACTTCAAATATAAGTTGTGTTTTGGTGAACGTAAGTTTCTGGTAGTTGATGATTTCACCGGGTAAATATTTTTTAAATGTTGGTTTTCTTTAATTGCAGGTAATTTTATAAATGAATCTCAATAATATCTAAATAAATAATAAAGCGGAATATAAATGTCTTCCATACGATTCAACGGCTTTTTTAAATAACTGCTTTAAATAAAATAACGGTGTCTATACCGTAGCGATAAGAGAAGAGAGAGAAATGGGATGGGGTTGAATTT